GAACCTGAGGACTGCCCCCCCCCTCCGTGAGCCCATCCCCCCCCCCCCCCTGACGCTGCCCCTGAGCATAGCCCTCGCCGTTCGGCCTCCAAGCGCCCGTGTGGGAGCACACGTCGCCCCCTGAGGCCCATCCCCCCCCGAGCACCCCCATGACGCTGCCCCTGAGTATGGCCTTCGCCGCCCAGCCTCCCGGCGCCCAGGTGGGAGCACGCGGCCCCCAGCACAGAGCCGCCGAGGACCAACAAAAACGCCGAGGCTGGAAATTCGCTGAGAATCCACGAACACGCCAAAAAAAATCCGACCTCGAACCTGACTTCCTACCAAACCGACCTCGAACCGTACCACCCCAACCCAGCCCGAAGACCCGAATGTCGGGTTGGGGGGGTACGGGTGCCCTATGTAATTGTTCAATGTTCCCCGACCCGCCCCCCACTGGAAATGGAGGGCAGATTGAAGCCTTCGGGTTGGGCTGGGCTGGCTTGGTGGGTGGTGAGAACCTGGGGAACCTCAGCATTGCTCTCGGCGCCCGGCCTCTTGGCGCCCAGGTGCGAGCACACGGCCCCCAGCAGCTCACCCCCCAACTGCTGCTCGCCAGAGGGCACGCCCGGGCACGGGCGCTGCTCGCCCACGGCGAGGGTACGCCCGCCTTGCTGCTCATCGTCGTCGTCGTCGTCGTCGCCGTCGTCGTCGTCGTCGTCGTCGTCGTCGTCGTCGTCGTCGTCGTCGTCGTCGTCATCGTCGTCGTCGTCGTCGTCGTCGCCATCGTCGTCGCCGCCGCCGTCGTCGCCCTCGTCGTCGTCGTCGTCGTCGGCGGCGGCGGCGTCTTGGAGATTTCGTAAATGCGTGTTAGTTCCGAAAAGTGTTTCGGGCCTCGGGATGCCTTCCAATGGCGTCACCTCGCAGAGATCGTTCCGTGGGCGCCCGCATCGTTCCGAACGGCAAACTCCTGGCGCCGTGAAGAAAATCACGACGGAAGGTTGTTGCCGATTTCGGCCTCCGGGGGCCCTCGCTGGGCCGCGGAACCGTCAAGGAACGACTCGGGATGAAAATCCAATCCCAGGGGAAGGGTCAGGACTTTCGGGGACCTCGCATTGAAAATTAGCCTGGCGAAGGACCCAACCATATGCAGGTGTGAGTACCGCAATAGTGATTCACTTTTTCGGTGGCGATCCCTACGAGGCAACGAACCGTGCTAGGGATGTGCCGAAATTCATGACGTGGTACACAACGCGAGCGAAACCGATTGATCTGAAGACGTAGGGAGAGTGAGCGCGGATCAATCTGAGCGCGAGCGCGTCTGACTGTGAACGAATCTGCGTGTGACCGAGTCTACGTGCATGAATGCGAGTATGACAAAGCATGGTGCAATTGTGTATGAATGTCAATACTTTGACAATGACTGCCTCTGAATACTCGTGACGCCGGGCGTGGCCGCCGCAAGGAGCTTCCCCGGGACTCCCCGACGGCATCGCCCGCGCGCCGCGGCGCCATTGTCGGCGCGCCCCCCCGCGAGGATCGCGCCCGCTTCCTCCCTCTCTTTTACTCCCTCTTTGCCCGCGCACTCAAAAGTCCAAGGCCGCGGGCGCAACGCAGCGCGGAGTCCCCGCGACGCGCGCAGATCGCCCCGGAGGGGTCCCAGCGACGCGCGCGAGTCGTCCGTTGCGCGGAGCAAAGAGAGCTAGCTGGCTGGCTGATAACGGGCAAGGCTCTTGCCGCTGGGCAAAGCGACGACAGGCGAGCGAGGCGTTGGGCAGAACGCAGCACGGAGCCCCCGCGACGCGCGCTGGTCGCCCCGGAGGGGTCCCAGCGACGCGCGCGGGTCGTCCGCTGCGCGGAGCAAAGAGAGCTAGCTGGCTGGCTGGGACCTTCGGTGGGACTCCATATGTGGCCACGAAACGCTGTACTGGGTGAGGGAGACGCATGCGGACTGCGCCACGGGGACCTTCGGTGGAGTTCCCTATGGGGCCACGAAACGTTAAGAGGTGTGCCGAAATGAGCGGCAGGGACGCATGCGGACTGTGCCACGGAGACCTTCGGCGGAACTCCTATGGGGCCACGAAGCGTGTGAGGGGTGTGCCGAAGTGGGTGTGCGGGACGCATGCGGACTGTGCCACGGGGACCTTCGGCGGAGCTCCTATGGGGCCACGAAACGTGTGAGGGGTGTGCCGAAATGGGCGTGCGGGACGCATGCGGACTGCGCCACGGAGACCTTCGGTGGAGTTTCTATGGGGCCACGAAACGTATGAAAGGTGGGCCGAAATGGGTGTGCGGGACGCATGCGGGCACACCCACTGGGACGAGGGGTGTGCCGAAATGGGTGTGCGGGACGCATGCGGGCACACCCACTGGGACCTTCGGTGGAGCTCCCCATGGGGCCACGAAACGTGTGAGGGGTGTGCCGACATGGGTGTGCGGGACGCATGCGGGCACACCCACTGGGACCTTCGGTGGAGCTCCCTATGGGGCCACGAATCGTGCGCAGGGTGTGCCGAAATGGGTGTGCGGGACGCATACGGGCACACCCACTGGGAGCTCCGGTGGAGCTCTCATGGGGCCACGAAACGTGTGAAAGGTGGGCCGAAATGGGTGTGCGGGACGCATGCGGGCACACCCACTGGGACCTTCGGTGGAGCTCCCTATGGGGCCACGAAACGTGTGAGGGGTGTGCCGAAATGGGTGTGCGGGACGCATGCGGGCACACCCACCTGGACCTTCGGTGGAGCTCACTATGGGGCCACGAAACGTGTGAGGGGTGTGCCGAATGTGGGTGTGCGGGACGCATGCGGGCACACCCACTGGGACCTTCGGTGGAGCTCCCTATGGGGCCACGAAACGTGTGAGGGGTGTACCGAAATGGGTGTGCGGGACGCATGCGGGCACACCCACTGGGACCTTCGGCGGAGCTCCTTATGGGGCAACGAAACGTGTGAAGGGGTGTGCCGAAGTGGGTTTGCGGGGCGCATGCGGGCACACCCACGGGGACTTTCGGCGGAGCTCCCTATGGGGCCACGAAACGTGTGAGGGGTGTGCCGAAATGGGTGTGCGGGACGCATGCGGGCACACCCACTGGGACCTTCGGTGGAGCTCCCTATGGGGCCACGAAACGTGCGCGGGGTGTGCCCAAGTGGGTGTGCGGGACGCATGCGGGCACACCCACTGGGACCTCCGGTGGAGCTCTCATGGGGCCACGAAACGTGTGAGGGGTGTGCCGATTTGGGTGATGACGACGATGATGATGACGATGATGATGGTGGGAGGAGGGAGGAGGAAGGACGGGGAGGAGGAGGAGAGGAGGAGAGACGCGGGCCACCGTCTCTTCAAAACGAGGACCCAACACCACAGGATGGTTGGGAAAAACATAAGACAGCTCGCCGCTTGGGCCCCACCGCCAGCCAATACAGCGAGCATAAGTCGGGCGTAGACCCGCACGTATTCGAATGCCCACACTTCGTCCTCGTACCACTCGTATTCCTCCCCGTCCTCCTCCCCATTGTGATCGTAGTCGTCGTTCTCCTCCTCGTCCTCCTCCCCATCCTCCTCGTTTTCCTCGTCTTCCTCCTGCTCCAGCTCGTCCTCGTCGTCCTCGTCTAGGACCTCGTCTTCGTTTCTCCCCTTCCTCCTCCTGCTCATCCTCCTTCTCCTGGCAACTCGGTCCTCGACGCACTCGCTTGCCCGCTTGCGGTTCAAGAGAGCGGCTCAACGCCATCGGTTGCGCCATAGGTTGCGCCCTCGACGGCCGAGATTAAAACCGTTTCCTATCGGTTGCGCCATAGGTTGCGCCCTCGGCGGCCGAGAATCAAACCGTCTCCCATTGGTTGCGCCATAGGTTGCGCCCTCGGCGGCCGAGAATAAAACCGTCGATCGGTAGCGCCATAGGTTTCGCCCTTGGCGGCCGAGAATATAACCGTCGCGTAACGGGTGCGACCAGTCTGTTCAGTTCAGTCCAGTTCAGTCCAGTTCAGTATACCTCGCGAGAAACAAATTCGGGCTCTGCCCGAAATCAGGACATCGCGGCTCTCCGATAGTGCAGATCGTTCATCGTCGGTCGGTTCTGGGCCACTGGCGGCGCTCAACATTGAACGCCTGCGCTGCACTCGCCGCCACGTCGACGCGGTACATGCCAGAGTGGCCCCAGGCTAGAGAGACCGTTGGTGCGCGGACTGGCGATCCCCGCGTGCGGTTCGACAGGCCCAGAGACATCCGACGCCTTGACTGGCACGAAGAAACGGAACGAAAAGCATGGCGTCCATTCTTGACGCCATTCAAGCATGGCGTCAAGAATGGAAACGAGACGAAACAAATGCCCCCGGGGAAGGGGTCTGCACGTCTGGGGTTGCGGATTGCAGAGACATGAAAAAACATAGGCAGATGTCTGGCGTCGAGCGCATCTTTTATTCAACATTCTCTCCCTGCCCACGAGCTTGAATCTGGCCCTGTGCGTCCCTGAAGGTCGCGCACTCAAGGTCACTGTGGCGAACTGGGCACTCTTCCGCGCAACCGGCTTACGGGAGAGGGGGGTTCTGGAACCCCCCCGGGGGTGTTCCCTAGGCCAGGCTTGTTCTCCCAAGCCCGTTTGAGCGGCAAAGGGCCTCAGAACGCTCTCCTATCAAGACATCCTTTCCCCGCGACCCGAATCCGCTCGAAAACCGCCCCCGGGCCCATCCCGAAGTCCATCCTGGACAATTTGGTTCGAGCTGCGTCCAGCCGCTGCAACGGGAACCTCCAGGACCGGCCCAGAAAACGTCCAAAGCGAAGACGACGTCGTCGACGACCACCTTTCTCCTCAAGAGGGAAAAGAAGAGGAGGAAGAGGAGGAAGAGAAGGCAGAGGAGGAGAAGGAGGACAGGGAGGAGTGGAGGGGAAGGTGAAAAGGCACGGGATCTATCTGAGTTAACGTGCGCCGTTTTGCAGGCAGACGCGATTGCCCCTGACGCAGCATCCAGCGAGGGAGCGGCTCCTCTGGCACTGCAAGGCTGGGCTTCTTGTGCTTCATGTACGGCAGGCTCGTGTCGTGACGGCGTCGGCGGTGGATCGTTCAAGTTTGAACGATCGCGGCTGCCCGAAGCACGGATCGCTCGATGTCGACCGATTTTGGGCGACTGGCGGCGTTCAACCCTGATTTCTCTCGACACGACACGAGCCCACCGTAAAGAAAGAAGGGAAACATGGAGTGGTACCTCTGCCCTCCGACGCTATATATGTTTCCACATTGTGGAGCCCTGGAGGTCTGAACGTTTCCCTGGGGCCCGTTTCGCATCCTGGGTCGTGCTTTCACCGTTCCAGGCGCCCCGGTGAGGGCCCCCAAGGCCCAGAATCTGCAGAAGCCTTCCGCCGTGACTCTTCTTTCCGCAGCGCGAGGGGTGTCCGGCGCAGCAGACCGAGGCGGCGGGCCTCCCCCCCAACAAGAGGCCCCCGCCAGAGCGAGCCGCGGGGCGTCGCCGGAGCCCAGCGCGGGGGCATGCGAAGAGCTCATGTTGGCGGCGAGCACGGGGGGGGGAGTAAAAGGGGCCGGGTATTCCCAGAAGGCTCGGCAGTCCCCCGGGCCCCAGCCTTCTGAGAAGTTGTCTTAAGTTGTCCCCGACGACGTTGAAAACTTTTCAGAAGGCGCAAGGGATTCGGAGAAATCCCGCCGCCTTCTGGGAAGGCCTTCTCCTTCTCGCTTCCCCCCATTCGCTCGACGCCAACCATAGGTGACTGGCCGCGGGCTCGCGGATGCTGGAGGCCGCCCGGGTGGAGCCAGGAGCGGATGGGCCCGGAGGAGCGCACCGCATGCGGCGCTGCATCGGCGATGCCGCGGCGACGCCAGCAGGCGGAGGCCAGGCTTCAGATCCCGCCGCGTCGCCGATGCATCGGGGGATGCCCGCGCCAGACATCCTCGCATCGTCGTCGTCGTCGTGGTCCTCGTCCCTGTCGTCGTCGTCGTCGTGGTCCTCGTCGTCGACCCCGACGACTGCGAGGACCATCGTCCCCCTTTTTCCTCCCTCTCTTCGTCCTCATCGTTCTCCTTTTTTCTCCTCGCTTCGCGAAGAAAAATAACGGCGGAAGGATTTCTGTTGGGCGTCATCGGCCTGCAGAGGACGTCAGAAAGGACCCTGGGAACCTGCAAAACAGCGGCTCGGGATGAAAAGCTGGGTCTGAACCTCTGGAGAGCCTGTTCTTTACTCGCGGCGAGGACGGGCGGTATATATGGGGGGAGGGAGAGGGGGCTGGGGGGGGGCATAACGTGAGGGCCCCACCCGCCGTGTGGTGCCGGACGCACTGCGGCAGTGCCAGGACGCGCGTGGGGGGGTGGTCTTGCGTTATGGAGGGGGGGGGGGGCACGACGCACGTCGTGGCCCAGAGGGTCATACAAAAAACACTCTCCTGGGGGCCCACGTCGTGATCACCATCGAAGGTCATGGGCCCCTGCGCCCAAGATTTCCGGGTCAGCTACGGCGCGCCTCCTCCCCTGGGAAGCGGCAAAGGCCACGCGAAGCGAAGCGATGCCTGGCACGAGTATGCAGAGACAGCCTGACTACCTACCAAACCACCCCTACCCAACCCGAGGACCCAAAGTTCGGGTTGGGGGGGGGTACGGGTTCCACATGAGTTTTAGTTCCATGTTCCCTGACGCCCCCCCCCCCTCTGGGAATCGAGGGCAGATTAGGGCCTTCGGGTTGGATTGGGGTGGTTTGGTGGGTAGTGACAGGCATCAGTAGACCTCCGACGTCGTGTTTTTGCTCGCTACGTGGACCCTCGGAGGTCTGGACCTTCTCCTCGGAGCCGGCGTTTCATCCTGAGTCTGTCTGCGGCGGCCCCGAGGAAGGCCCCCCATGGGGAAGGAAAACGGGAAAAACCTGTCGTTCTTCTTGTGACGACGCGAGGGGAAGTCTGGGCCTGCCGGGTTGCGACAAAGTCCACAAATGGACAGCGCCCGCGGCAACCCCGAGGGCGAGTCCTGCTCGATGAGAGTGGACAGGAACTGTTACTGGCATTCGTGCCGATCGCACCGAGAAGCAGCCGCGGCTACGCGAGGCGAAGGGATGCCTAGCTTGAGCACGCAGAGGCAGGCCGACACACTTCCCTCGGCTACGCGCCAAAGGCACCCTCGGGACGAGTGACCTGTGGTTCGCGGCCTTCATGGGGCCGCGGGGAGGCCACACCCAGGCGCGCAGGCATGTGCTGGTGGAGCCCTTGTGGGCCACCATGCGCCACTCTGGGGAAGGGCCGTCTGGCTTTCGGGCCGTGCTCCGAGACCTGGCGGCCGCTCGGGACGATCCAGGCACCATCTGGAACTCTCCTGGCGGGGCGCAGCTGCTGGAAAGCACGCCGAGGCTGGACCGGCCGCCAAGAACCTGCGGAAACCGTTCCCCCCCAGCCGCTGGCGCCTCCCGGAGACCCCGCGGGCGCGGACACCGCCGCGGCCGCGAGGGCCCAGAGCGCGGCGCCCAGGCACGCGGACAGCACCGCCAGCGACGCGGCCGCGCAGGTGGGGCCCTGCGAGAGCGGCGGCCGCTCGCCCGCCACGAGGGCCTCGCCATCGCCCGCGCCGCCGCGGTCCATCAACGGTTCGGGCGCCGCTCGCGCGCGCGCGAGGGGCCGGCCGTGAGGAGGCAGGGCTCGGCGACGCGCCGTCGTTCGTCGCTGCCGTCGTCGCCGTCGTCACGGCCGCCGCCAGGGCGAATGGGGCGGGGAAGGAGGAGGAGGAGAAGGAGGAGGTAGAAGAAGAGGAGGAGGATGAGGTGGAGGAAGTAGAAGATGAGGAGGAGGAGGACGAGGAAGAGGAAGAGGATGAGGAGGAGGAGGAGGAAGGAGGAGGAGGAGGAGGAAGAAGAGGAGGAGGAGGAGGAGGGAGGGAGGGAGGGAGGGAGGGAGGGAGGGAGGAGGAGGAGGAGGAGGAGGAGGAGGAAGAGGACCAGCGCAAACCCAAGACGCATCGACGATGTTGCAATAAACCCTCCCTCCAAGTTTTCATAAGTCCATACGGAAATTTCTTCTTACTACGGGAACTGCCCAACTTGAAGAAAACTGTCTGGTAATCGTAGACCATACCGAAACACGGTTCCTGGGAATTCAACGCCGCGAATAAATGGTATTGTTGCGTCCTGACAACCTAAGGATCTAAAAATGTTTCTAATTGGCGCGCGCGAGTGTGGCGGCCCTTGGGGGTCCGTGCAAAAGAAGTACCCTGGCAAGGTCCGGGCAAGGTTCCAACATTAGACGAGCACGTTCTACTACTCGCAAAGTAACTACTCGCAAATCGCCTGGATCCGCCGATGGGGAATCTACGATAAAGCACATCGACGCAGACATTTGTTTTTCGGACGTTTGCGAGTAGGCACTGTGCGAGTAGTGGAACGCGCTCGGTGAATTAAGGTCGGGCCAGTGATGCCAGAACTCCTGGGCGCGGCCTCGGGGCCCCCCCGAGCGCTCCAATGAGGCGCCAAAGGGTGCCACGCCCCACGGCCTCAGGCCAAGAGCGTTCCAAGATGGCCCACGTCGGTCCCAAGACGAAACAAGAAGCGCCAAACACGCTCCAGGAGGGTCCCACGAGGACTTCGAGAGGCCCTGGAGACGCCCGAATATTTGATGTTGCTTAGATTTTCGAGCGATTTTGGCGGTACCACCTTTTCGAGCTACCGACCGCCCAGGACGGCCCAAGAGGCCCTCAGACCTGGGCCGGCACGGGAACGGAAAGAGCGTTGCAGGAACTGGCCCAAGAGGGCTCATGGCACCTTTCGCTCTGGGGAGCATTGGCGTGAAGAGCTTGTTGCGTTACCGTTCTCTGTTGGGAGCCCTGAGACTTTGACGTTGCCGCTCGCTCTTGGAAGCCTTGCTGTTCAGAGCTATTTACGTCACCGCGCTCTGGAAAGCCTTGGTGTTCAGAGCTTCTTGCGACACCGCTCGCTTTGGGGAGCCATGGTGTTCCTTGGCGTCTCTGGGGCTTCTTGGGGGTCTTTTGGTAACCCTTTTGGACGGTTCTGGGACTCTTGGGCCGTCTTGGGGCCAGCCCAGTCCCCATACCCAGGCAGCCCAGTCCCCACACCGCCCCTGCGGGCCCTCTTGGGAGCCTCGTGGGGCCATCTTGGTGCGCTCGTGGGGCCGTCTTGGGGCCCTCTTGGGCCGTTGTGGGGCCCTCTGGGGCCGTCTGGGGAGCCCTCTTGGACAATTTTCGGGCAGTTTGGGGGGCCGATGGGGCCGTCTGGGGACGATCTTTGGGACCTCTTGGGCCGTCTGAAGCCCTTCTGGGCCAGAAAAAACGAGAACCCCAAACCTTGAAAAACCTACGGAAACATAATGTTGTTCGCCACCTGAGGCCCTCTCGGGGGCCCTCTTGAGGGCCGTTTTGGAACTCTTGGGCCGTCTTGGGGCCAGCCCAGTCCCCACACCCAAGCAGCCCAGTCCTTACGCAGCCTCTTCGGGTCCCCTTGGGAGTCTCTTGGGGCTCTCTTGGGACCGTCTTGGGGCCATACGGGGCTGCTGTGGGGTCCTCTTGGGCCGTCTGAGAGCCCTCTTTTGGACCGTTTTCGGGCAGGGCCTATGGAGCCGCCTTGGGAGGACTTCTTGGGCCTCGTGGGCCGTGTTGGGCCCGTCTGGGCCCGAAAAGGCGAGAACCCGAAAAACCGTCGAACCCCAAAGGGAAATCAATGTATTTGGCCTCCTGAGGCCCTCTCGATGGCCCTCTGGAGGGCCCCTGGAGCCGTCTCGAGGCTCTCTTGAACCGTCCGGAGGCCATCTAAGGCTCTCTTGGGGCCGTCTTTGCACCGTTTGGTGCCCTCTTTGGCCGTCTTAGGGCCCTTAAGCCGCTTCACTATAACAAAATATTAGAAAACGAGACATGGAAGGCGCCCGCGAGCCGCTTCGCTCGAACAAATACAAAGGAAACCGGCCATTCGACAAAAAATCGCGCGCCTCGCCCCTCTCCTGGAACCCCTCCCTTCAGAGCTTCGCCGCACCCAAGAACATGCATCACTCGTACCTCGCTCTTTCCGTCATCGCTCCAAAGAGGCACAAGAAGCCTCCAAGAGGGCTCCCACATGGCCCAAGATGGCCCTTAGACGGCCCTAAGAGACCTCCAAGGCAGCCCCAGGATGGCCCCAAGAAGGGGCACAGAGGGGGAACCCGAACAGACAGTTTGCGCTCTCGGCCCCAAGAGGCGTCCAGAAAGCCCCCAGAGCCCCCCAAGAGCCCACCAAGAGGCCCGAAGAGGCCCCCACGAGGCCTCAAAAGAGGCTCCCGAGACCCCCAATGGCCCCCCAGGAAGCCCCAAGAGGCCGCGAAGAAGCCCCCGAGAGCCAAGGGCCAAGAGTCCCCCCAGAGGCTTCATAACTGCTCCTCAGAGGCTCCCGAGAGCCATCTGAAGAGACCCCAAGAAGCATCCATGAGGACTCTGACCCACAACCCAAGTGCGTCTCGAATCTCTGCTGGAGCTCTCGCGAGCCAACTTGGCACCCTCTGAGGCAGTCGATCGGGTCCCTTCGACAGGGTGCGAGCCACATCTTCAGAGATCTCCTCAAGGACAGTCCTGCCTGCCCTACCGTTCCCCAACGGTACGAGCACACCAGCATTCGGGGAGGACAGCCAGAGCGACTTCTCCGTCACGAAGGTCTGGAACTCGCTCAGCCTCCTGTCGTAGCCCGCTTGAGTCGCCTTGCTGATCGAGCTGGCCTCGAGAAGCGTCATGTCGATCGGGTCGGAGCTCCCCGGAGGCGATCGGGCAATCTTGTTCGCCCTGCGCTCCTCCCGAGTGGCTCCCCCGAAAGGCCTCGACGGGGCGGGGGCCAGGCGCCTGCGCCGCGGCGGGCGCGCCGCCGAGCCCTGGTAGGCGCCAGGGCGCCTGGCCGGCAGCAGCCTGCGGCTCCCAGGGGCGCGAGCCTGCATCCGCCCGGTTCCTCTCGGAGGGCGTCCAACGGCGGTGAAATACTGAGCCCGAGGCGACCGACAGACATGACATTCTCCTGCAGGAGGCCAAGACTGCGAAGCTCGCACTCCTGCCCTTAGCGAAAGACAAGACACATGGGAAGTTGTCTCAGATCTCGAGAATACTTTTTTCCCGTAGTTCTTTGTAGAGCGGAGAAAATGACGCGCTAGCACAACTCCTGCGCGGGACTCCAGGGCGGTGATATGCTCTGCCCCCAACCAGGGCATGGCAACACACGTGGTCCAAGAGGCGCGCGCTAAGTGCTCCTCCGGCACTTCCTCAAAGAAGGGATTGGGGACCAGTGGTATGTCGTCCTCCCCGCTGTGACACTTGCAGGGCAGAACGGTCCGCGGGCCCGAGAACGGGTCGCCGGGCGGACCGAGAGCGGAGACCCGAGGAGGCAGGGCCCCGTCACGACCCTTCAAACGCGAGCGCTCGCCGACTCGCCCGATGCCCCTCACAACGTCGGCAGGCAGCTCGGCGGTGGCGACGGCAGCCCCTGTCAGGCTGGAGTCGCACATGCCCGCGGTGCTGCAGCACGGCCGCCCCACGTCCGCCGCGCAGGCGAAAAGCGGCCTCCGGAAGACCGAGAACTCCCAGGCTGCCGCTGCCCTGAGCCTCCCAGGCATGTCCACGGGGGTAGCGACGAACTCGTAACACCTGCAGAACACCGACATGAAGCAGGGGTTCAGCGTGGCCGCGTCGATGCAGTGCCCGATGATGATCCCCACCTGCCGCGGCGACACCCTGGGGCGGCGCTCGAACCACCTGAGCGCGGCCTCCAGCCGAGGCCGCCGACGCCCAGTAAGCTGCACCGCCCCCGCGCCCCCGTCGATCTCCCTGCCGAGCAAGACAGCTGAAGTGGAGGCCACGGTGACCTCGTGAACCTCGAAGCCGTCGGCCACCAGCTGCGCCTCAATCTTGGCCCGCAGCGAGTCGGCGTTCTCGCGGGAGGTCGAGCCGACGCCAACGTTGTCACAGTAGGCGAGCACGGCGGGCCTGCCCTCCGAGATGTCGGGGACGGGGCCGTGGTCGGCGAGCAGGGCGGATGGGGCCATGCCGACGGCAACCTGCACGCGCCAAGATGCGACACGATGGGCAAGGTAGAAGGCCCAGCTCCAGCCCATCGGCACCACCCTCAGCATCGGCCAGACCCAGCCGTCCGACGGCGGGAGCGCTCCGATGAGCGGCTCCCCGAAGCTCTCGGCAAAGCCCACGGGGACCGCCGGGAGGCAGAAGAAGGGCATCAGCTCGGGCAGGTTCTTGAGCGCGTAGAAGTAGTTCTTGATGTCAAGGCTGCTGACGTAAAGCTCCCCCCCCCCCCCCCCCCCCCCTCGTCCCCGACATCTCGTCGAGACGGGGCCTCCTTGGTCCCTTCAGCTCCAGTCTGCCCCAGGAGGCCCCTGAGCCCATAGCCAGCGCTGGACATTTGCGGAAGCGCCTGTCGGGCACCCGAGAGTCGAGCACCAGCCTCAACCTGCCAGACTTCTCGCCGACGAAAAAGGGGGCCACCCAGTCCTTCGGCTCCGCGGTGAAGGAGAGGAGCCCCGCTGCGTGCAGGTCCCCGATAGAGCCCCGGTAGAGCTCGGGACCCTTGCGCAGCTCCACGCCCGTGAACGGGGCGATGGGCGGCGAGCTCTCGATCACGCGTCCCCACTCGTCCTGGTCCAGCAACATGGTGTTCATCCAATCCTTTAGCATCTCCTGTCCGACAGGGTCGATCACGTCGAGGAGGTCTGGCGGCGTGGAGCCTGGTCTCGTGATATCGACGAGCTCCCTGTCGCAAGCCCGCACTGGGCACGCGGCTCCCTCATCGTAGAGAGAAAAAGAGAGAGCGGAATCTCAGCAGCCCCCCTGCGGCTGCCCGAGGTTGAAATACATCGCTGCACTGGGCGCTCAGTCGCGCAGCAAGCCGAAACTGGTGATGAGCCTCATTGTGAGCGGCGTATGCAGATCCCGCAGAGCCCTCCGGGGCCCGGTAGAGCTCGTTCAGGGCGCTGACAGCCCGGTTGACGGTGCGGTCCTCCCATCGTGCCCTGGCAAGCGCTCGCCTCCGGCCTCGTGACCCTGCCTCAGCTGCAGGGAGCTCCTCGACCATCGGCAAAGGAAAAAGTCTGCGCTGCCGTCCGTCAAAAACTGGGCACCGTTCAGGTGTGTAGCCACACGCAGTCCGAGCGCCGCTGTGGCCTGGGAGACGCGGGCGAGGTCGGCCAGGCCCCGCCGCGGAATCATCCTTCATCAGGGGCGGGCGCCGTCGGCGCCCTCCTCCCTGCCCTTGCCTGCACCCTCGCGACCCCCGCGGCGGAGACGCAGCTTCTCGCGGGCCGTGCTCTGCTCCTTGGCGACCTCCGCCTCGCCCTTGACCTGGTCCGTGACGTACCTGTGGAGGCGTGGAGCCACTGTGTCTCCCCCTGCTCTGTAGGGCCAGCCCATGTAGTGGTTGGCCGCCCAGTAGTCGGGGGCGGACGGGCTGGCCCTGTGCGCGTCCTCGAAGAGCTGGAAGCGCATGGCGATGAGCTCCCCCGTCTGCAAGCTGCCGGCGTTGAGCTGGTATACGCACCGCATGACGAACAACAGCACGCACAGCACGTGATGTCCGTGGTTCGACCTGTCTCCCGTCGGCACGTGGGAGACGCGAACCCAAGTGTCGTGGCGGGTGAGAGGAGTGATGCCGCCATCCCGCCAGCGTCGCAGCACCCAACCGACCGAAGCCACACCCTCGAAGTCGAGCCCCCCCTGCGGGGGTGAGTCGTTGAGCAGGTCGACGGCCTCGGCGAAGGGCCGTCTGCGGCTGCCGCTCTCGTCGAGGGCGACGGGGGCGCCGCGCAGGTCGTCGTTGGCGTAGACCTTGACCTCGTCCTCGCCCATCTGCTGGGCGAGCGCCTTGCCTGCCGGGAGCGTCCCCATCGCCATGTTTCCGTCGATCATGGGGGCGCCGCCGAGGTCCGCGATCACCTGGCCTCGCTGGGGGCCCGCCGCATCCTCGGCCACGACCCACGCCCGCTGGAAGGCGGCCGCCGCGGCTCCAGGGCGAGGGGCGCCAGCAGCAGCGACAACGGGCGGAGCGGCGGGGGCGACCGCTACGCCTGCGAGGAGGGCGCCATCTGCGAAGTACTGAGCCCGCTCCGCAAGGGTGGGCACCCGGCGGAGCCTGTAGATCCGATTGGGGGCGATCCCCGCTGGCACCGCACCAGGCCCCGCCAGCGCTCGGATGTCCAGCAGGTCGGCGCAGGCGAGGGAGATCTGCTCGATGTAGTGGTCCCCGTCGGGAGTCAGGGCCCGGCACTGCGCGTCGGCGCCGAAGGCGGTGCTGAGCCTCTCGTGGTAGAGTGCGTCCACCACGCCCGGGAGGACGTAGGCCACCAAGACCCATACCCCCGGCGCCAGCGCCATCAACAAGACACCCGCCTCGCCCTGACCGCGGCGAGAGCGGCGCGAGCCTCATCCGCCCAAGCCGTCGGAACGACTCAGCCACAGGCGGCCCGCCGACCGCGGGGGCCACCTCCACCGCCAGGGGCGGCGCTGGCCCCGCCGGCTGCGCGGCCGGCCGGGCCGGCGCCCCCAGCCGCCGCGGGCGGCTGACCACGAGCAGGGCGAAGAGGAGGGCACGAGGGCGAATGCACGGCGTTGACCAGGAGTCCTCCGAGCGCCGAGACCCCAGCTGCAGCGCGCTCTCCATGCGCTGTCGGCCGAGGAGGGACGCCCAGAAACCTCTGAGCTAAAGAATTATACGGAGAGTTGCTGTTGTTGCGGCGCTCTCCCGAGAAACGATCAAAGAACGCCAAAGCTAACTCATCATCATCAGCAACATCATCATCAGCATCATCATCATCAGCAGCAGCAGCCGCAGCATCAGCATAAGCATCATCATCGTCATCATCATGACCATCAGCCTCATCATCAATAATAACATCAGCAGCAACACCACCATCACCACCAACATGATCATTATCAGCAGCATTATCATCATCGTCATCATCACCATCACCACCATCATCACCTCCACCATCATCATAATCACCACCACCACCATCATTATTATTATCATCACCACCATCATCAGCAGCAGCATCATCATCATAATCCACATCCTAATCACCGTCATCCTCATCGGCATCAGCATCAGCCGCAGCAGGATCATCACCATAAGCATTATCAGAATCATCACCATCATCATGCATAGCATCATCATCACCGCCACCATCATCATCCTCATCATCATTACCAACATCATCAGCAGCAGCAGCATCTTCATCCTCATCCTCATCCTCATCGTCATCAACATCAGCATCAGCATCACTGTCATCATTCCATGCCTGTTGCTCCTCCTTCTCCTCCTCCTCCTCCATCTCCATCTGCTGCCACTTCCTCCTCATCCTCTTCATCTCTCTCCTCTTCTTGCCCCCCTCCTCCCCCTCCTCCTCTTCTTCGTGCTCCTCCTCGCCCTCGCGAGCCACACCAAGCAAATCGGGAGGAAGGCCTGGCCACACGGATCCCCGGTGGTAGCCATTCCGGAGCGATCTTCACACGCCCACGTGCGGACCTCATGCGGAGGGGGCACGACGGAGGCTCGAGGGTGCGAGGAACCCCTCGGTCCCACGGACGAGCCGCTGAGCGCTCGTGTTGCAACGACGACGACGAGGGCGGGACACGAACGACTGCGGTCACAAATGGATCTGAGGGAGGACGCACCGACCGAGCGAGGACCATCAGATCCACCGGGGGACGACCTGGCGGCCTCTGGGGTCTCAAAGAGCCCGCGAGTCCGCAGGAAGCACGGGGCACGCATTGCGGCCGTCCCGACGCGAAGCGCTCTGATAGCGAGCATCTCTGGAACGAGCTTCGGCGGAGTCCTGCCGCGCCGACGCGCGCGTTGGCCACAGACACCGCAGAGCTCGTTCCACCCCGAGGCAGCTCCGCTATTGTACACGGCGGCGGAGATCGCCCGAGATTGGCCTGGTTGAGGACACCAGTGGCCTTCCACGTTGAGCGCCCCCCGCCGTCGCCGCCGCGTCGACGCGGTGCAACTCTACCGCGTCCATACCCTGGGGCCACCTGGCATCCCAATACTCCGACATCGTGATCTTGCACAGCCTGGACCCACCGAGAGCTTGGACCACGTCTCTGGGGACGGCATTTCGACCCGAGTCGTTCTCCCAGGACCTGGACAGAGCCCCTCTTGGCCAGGAATGACACCCCCAAAAAATGGGGGCCGACAAATACCGATGCGGCTACTCCTCGGACCTCTCCCAGGGTGCGTCCTGATCAGAATGTCGAGAAGTCGTCCGTGGCGACGAGGGCTCTCCAGGACGAGCAGCGGTGTCGGTCTGAGACGATTGTCACGTCACGATGCTGTCTGCGTGTCCTCGAGTCTGGCGCATCCTCCCACGCTTAGGCGCGCATCGACAGGCCCACGGGGCGGGCCCCGAGCGGGGGCCCCAGGAAACGAGAGGCCAGCGCGAGCCTCTCGAAAGCAGCGATGGCGCGGAGAAGCGGCCTGGAACGCACAAGAACACAGACCACTACTATGTGTCCTCCTCGGAACGGTGCGCCCGACCCGAACATATGGTACAACCATCTTGTAGAATATCGCTTCCCGAGAGGTATGGCCAGAAAGCGCCCGCCACGGAGATACTACAAGATTCCTCGGCGCGCGCATCTCCCCGTTGGGGGCGACGCACACATAGTATTTGCATGTGTTGGGTGGCGCCGACGTTTCACCGCAGTAGCGTTCGGCCTTCCAGGATCAGTCGGCATCGGGTCGGGAAATCGGATCGAATCGAGATCTTCGCCGGATCGGGCTGCGTCGGCACGGAGTACGAATCGAATCGGATCGGCTGCGCCAGGATCCACAGCAGCACCATGCAAGCACAAAACCCCATCGGATCGTCGGGGTTTCTCGACACCGAGTTGGATCGGGCCGGCCAAGACGGGCATCGAATCGGACCGATCGGATCGAAATGGGCCCTGGTTTCTGCCCGTGAGAGTCGGGTGTTGGCAGGGCTGGGTTTCATGGGCACTGGCTCACAAATGTGTACTGGGGAACGCCCCACGCCCCCATCTCCCTGACCAGATCTGCCATCAACCGAAGATACACCAGCTACGGCAGACCTGATTTAGTGATTCTGGTGCAGGTTTGAAAGCGTTTCTTGTTTTCCGCAATAGCGACCGTTGCCCGCCCCAGCCGCCCCCACCCCCCACCCGAGCTAACGTCACGATTCGTGCTGATCTCCGAGCTGGCCTTGGTTACGTATTCCTAGATGTTTCCAAACAACGCCCGCGCGAAAGGTAACATCACCGGCACCCCGCCCCCCCCCAACCCCCCGGCAACGCCCGTTATCGCCCGGACAAAAAAAAGCTCTCCAATCAGTGACCAGCTCCCCTCACCCCAGTTCCCGATGACGGTGACGATGACGGTGACCATGACCATGACGTCATCATCGCCATCGTCATCGTCATCGCCATATCCGAGAGGGAGCCCCCGTTTTCGGAGCTGCCGCGCCGCCGAAGCTCTGCGCAACGGGCGCCAGGCTGGGCCCCAGCCGCGCGCAGAGCCCCCGCGCGGAGAGCGGCGGGCGGCTTAAAAAAGCATGGCGCGGA